CGAGGACCCTCCTCCCCTCTCCCTTTCCTCCTCCCCTCCCTCCTCTCCTTCCCTCCCCTCCTTTCCTCCTCCGCTCCTCCTCCCCTGCCCCCTCCCATGCCTCCTCCCCTCCTCCCCTCCTCCTCTCCTCCCCTCCCTCTTCCCCTCCCTCTTCCCTCTCCCCTCCTCCCCTCCTCCCTCCTCCCTCCTCCCCTTATCTCTTCCTCCTCTCCTCCCCTCCTCCGCTCCTCCCCCCCCTCTTCCCTCCTCCTTCGAAGCCCTTGGGCGGAGTTCGGCTCCAGTCTGTTTGCCTGTTCTGTTTGCTGTTCAAATCGAGCTCGTCTTCGGCATCAGGAGTTTTGTGGTTGTCCTCCGCTCCTCCCTCCACAAAAACAATTGAAGTCGACCTCGTCTGCAGAAAGACTCGCAGCCCTCCCAGCCTGGGAGGCTCTTCGTGGGGGTACCTCGCGGGGAGCCCCACGTGTGGGGGACCCCCGCCTGGCGCCACATCGACTCCGCCGGGGAAGCCGCCGCAGCGACTCCAGGGAGCGGTGCAAAACCGTCTGGGCTGCCTCCGCCTCCTCCTCCTCGTCCTCCTCCTCCTCCTCCTCCTCCTCGTCCTCGTCTTCTGCCTCCTCCTCCTCCTCCTCCTCCTCCTCCTTCTCTTCCTCGTCCTCGTCTTCTGTCTTCTCCTCCTCCTCCTCCTCCTCCTCCTCCTCCTCGTCCCCTCCTCCTCCCTCCTCTCCTCCTCCTCCTCCTCCTCGTCTTCCCTCCTCCTCCTCCTCCTTCCTCCTCCTCACTCTCCTCCTCCTCCTCCTCCTCCTCCTCCTCCTCCTCCTCCTCCTCCTCCCTTCCTCCTTCTCGTCTCTCCTCCTCCCTTCCTCCTTCTCGTCTCTCCTCCTCCATCTCTCTCTCTCTCTCTCTAGCCCCGCCGATCCGCCGATCCTGTGGTCCACTGGCGCGGGCCCCTGGGCTGCCCGTCGCGAGCCCCCACTGTGCGGCGCTCGCTCCCAGGGCGGCGCGGAGGGCGTCGTCCACGTCCTCGGCCTCCTCGCCCTCCTCGCCCTCCTCGTGCTCTTCGTCGTCGTCGTCGTCGTCGCCGTCGGCGTCGTCGTCGGCGTCGTCGTCGTCGTCGTCCTCGTCCTCGTCGTCGTCGTCGTCATCGTCCTCGTCGTCGTCGTCGGCGACGTCTCCAAGGGCCCCGGAGGGCCTCCAGACGCTTCTCCAGAGGCCTCCTGAGATCTCCTGAGGCAACCTTCAGAGGTCGCCGTCGTCGTCGTCGTTGTCGTGGTGGCCATCGTCATCGTCGTCGTCGTCGTCGTCGTCGTCGTCGTCGTCGTCGTCGTCGTGGCCGTCGCCACGTCTTCCCGCGGGAGCTCGCCTTCCCCGGGGCAGGTGCCGCCTCCTCGCGAGGATCGCGGGCGTGCGGTGGGGGGGAGCCCTCAAACGTCCAGGCGGCGCACGGAGCTGCGGCGGCCGTCCTTCTTGGATGTCCTCGGCCTCTGGAGGCCGCCTCCTGGCCCCGGAACTGTCGTCAAGCTGGGCCCGTCCCTCTACAGCGCCGTTTTTAATGCATGCTCCGCGTGCGGATCATGTATTAAGAATGCAGGGATTTAGTATTAGAAACAACGATGAGTTCATGCATACCTTTACTCATACATTAATCATGTTTTAAACATCCCATACTTTTAAACATCCCATGTATCAAAAACTGCCCTGTACAGTTATGAGACTCCAACCTACTTTAGGCTTGACCACCAGGAAGAATTTCGAGTGGCCCACAACAAGTACCGGAACTTAAGGGTTTTCGCGTGTCGGGCTCTGGGAGACACTCGCCCGACACTGCTTCGACACTGTTTCGACACTCTTTTGACACTGTTCTGCGTGCTCGAAATTATTTCTGGGATGCGGTCCTTAAGTAGGATGGGAACAACATAACTCTACAGGAGGAATATTCAACCATAGTCATAAAATAGTCGGGGGAATATTTCTTGTTGTTTTGACCATCTTGGAGTCTTGTGTGAGTATTTTTGAAGTTATCGTCGAACATCCCCCTGTAGGGGGACACGCCCCACCTAAGACTGTAAAGCAACGACTCAGGTTTGAGCTTTGGCGGCCACAGCTTTCCGCAGCGGGCGCCCAGCTGCCTGCCACGAGGGGAGCGACGGCGCCCCGTGGTGGTTCGGGCAGCCTTCGTGCCGCTGGCGATGCGGTGCGGTGGCAACTCCTGGTGCCCCCCCCCCTCTCGACGTGGTCGAGACCCCCCGGGGCGCCGTGCGACGACATGGCCGCGCGACGAAGATGTTACGACACCCGACGAGGGGATCTGCTCAGGGGGCAATGTTGTGGGAGATCCTGGCATCGCTCGGACGTGTGCACTTTTCCTTCGGCGAGGACCATCGGGGAGCATCCTTGATCATTTGGCGAAAGAACCACGCGCGAAACCGACAAAAATACAGGGAATGGACGTCCGAGCGATGGCCAGAGATCTGCTCAGGGAAGGACGCATCGACCCCCGATCGCTCGTTCGTCGCCGACTGGGGCCCGACAGCCCGCCCCGCCCAGGAGCGTGCGGCTTCGCTATGGGGGGCCTGTCGCCAATGTATCGGCGGCGTGCCGCCGACTCCAGCTCGATGGTTCCCCCCCGAGCCTGTCCCCCCTATCGCCCCCCCGAAGGGAGCGGTGGGAGCAAGCGGATGGGGAGGGGACCTGGAGCCAGCAGCTCGTTCTTCTACAGGCGGGGATGTGCAGAACCCACTCCACGGCAGCAGGCCTTTGGCGACACTCGTTCTTGGTGGTGGTAAGGGGGCTGCTGATGTCGCTGCCCCTGCTGGCTAGCGCTCCTGTATCGGCGACTTCGTCGATTTCAGGTCGATGCTCCCACCCCTGAGCTGCCCCCCCATCGTTGCCCCCAGAGGATGTGGAGGGATGCGTCGGTGGGCGAGGCTTCCTGACGCTCTCGCGGCCGCCTCGGTGGTGGTCTCTGGGAGGAGGGGGAAGAGGAGGAGGAGGAGGAGGAGGAGGAGGAGGAGGAGGAGGAGGAGGAGGAGGAGGAGGAGGAGGAGGAGGAGGAGGAGGAGCAGGAGGAGAGGACGAGAGACGAGGAGGAGGAGGAGGAGGAGGAGGAGGGATGGATGATGATGAGAGGAGGATAATACGGAGGAGGATGAGGAGGAGGAGGCGCAGGAGCAGGAGGAGGATGAGGAGGAGGAAAAGAAGGGGGCAGACGCGAGGAGGAGGAGGAGGAGGAGGCGAGGAGAAGGAAGAGGAGGAGGAGGAGGAGGAGGTAGGAGGAGGAGGAGGAGGAGAGGACGAGGAGGAGGGGGATGAGGGAGGAGGGGGATGAGGAGGAGGAGGAGGATGAGGAGGAGGAGGAGGAGGAGGAACAGGAGCAGGAGCAGGAGCACGAGCAGGAGCACGAGCAGGAGCAGGAGCAGGAGCAAGAGGCGGAGGAGGAGCAGGAAGAGGAGGAGGAGCAGGAGGAGCAGGATGAGCAGGATGAGCAGGAGCAGTTGCAGGGGAGCAGGATGAGGATGAGGAGGAGGAGGAGCAGGAGGAGGAGGAGGGGGAGCAGGAGCAGGAGCAGGAGCAGGAGGAGGAGGAGGAGGAGGAGGGGCAGGATGCTGATGATGGGAGGGATGATGCTGATGATGATGATGATGATGATGATGATGATGATGATGATGATGATGATGATGATGAGGATGATGAGGATGATGAGGATGATGACGATGACGAGGACGATGACAATGCTGATGACGATGTCGACGATGATGATGATGTTGATGCTGATTATGCTGATGATGCCGATGATGATGATGCTGATGATGATGATGATGTTGATGCTGCTGATGATGATGATGATGATGATGATGATGATGATGTTGCTGATGATGATGATGATGATGGTGCTGCTGCTGATGCTGCTGATGACGATGATGATGCTGATGCTGATGCTGATGATGATGTTGATGCTGATGATGATGCTGATGATGACGATGATGATGACGATGATGCTGATGATGATGATGATGATTATGATGATGATTCTGATGATGATGATGCTGATGATGATGCTGATGATGCTGATGATGATGATGATGATGATGCTGATTACTGATGATGAGATTAGCTGATGATGAGATGATTATGTGATGTTGATGATGATTATGATGATGGATGATGAATGATGATTAATGATGACGAAATGATTATGATGATTTGATGATGATGATGATGATGATGATGATGATGATGATGATGATTGATGATGTATGATGAATGATGATGATGATGATGAATGAGATGGGATGATGCTGGTTGATGAGGATGCTGATGCTGATGCTGATGCTGATGCCTGATTCTGATGCTTATGCGGCTGCTGCTGCTGCTAGAGGATGGCGGATGAGGATGAGGAGGAGATGAGGATGGGAATGAGATGAGGAGGATGAGGAGGCGGAGGGTAGTGAGGAGGGAGGGAGGAGGCTGAGGATGAGGAGAGGAGTAGCTGAGGAGGAGGAGGTGAAGTAGGAAGGAGGATTATTATAGGAGGTTGAGGAGGAGGAGATAGGGAGGAGGATGATGTAGGAGGAGAGTGAGGAGTCTGAGAGATATGGTGCAGGAAGGAGGGATGGAGGAGGAGAAGGAGGGAGAAGTCGGATGAGGGAAGGAGGAGGAGAGGAAGGAGAGGATGAGGATGAGGAGGAGGAGGAGGGATGGAGGAGGAGGAGGAGAAGGAGGAGAGGAGGAGGAGGAGGAGGAGGAGGAGGAAGGTGCGGAGGAGAGTAGGAGGAGTGCAGGAGGACGGGAATGGTGATGAGGAGGAGGAGGAGGAGGAGGAAGGAGGGAGGAGGAGGACTGATTAGGAGGATTGAGGAGCGGCAGGCTTCTGTGAATGTGCTTGGTCGGCGCAGTTATTAATACGGCGTCGGCGGAGGAGGAGGAGGAGGAGGAGGAGGAGGAGGAGGAGGAGGAGGTGAAGGAGGAGGAGGAGGAGGGCCGGTCGACGGGGGCTCCTCCCGAAGCAATTTCTGCCTCGAGTGGACCCGTGGGGAGCCGGGAGCGCGGCCATGGGCAATTGCGCCGCCCCCGCCGATGGCGCCGGCCCCTCCGAGACGCTGGAGGCGCGGAACCCGCTGCCGGCGCTGCGGCACGAGAGCGTGCTCACGACCGTGGGGAAGACGCCCGTGGTCAGGCTGAACCGCATGGCCCCCGACGGCGTGAGCGTTTACGTGAAGTGCGAGGCGCGGGTGCTCCCGTTGGAGACACCGCGAAGCGGAAGCGAGAAAAGAGGCTCCCAGCGAGAGACGCCGTGAAGGATTTTGGGCTCGAGGTTCGAGTTTCTCTGTCGTTTTCGTCGTTGCTCGGCGCCTTCCTGAGGTTTTGAGTTTCTCTGTCGTTTTCGTCATTCTTTGGGCTCGAGGTTTGAGTTTCTCTGCGCCTCCCGGCGACTGCGCCTCGTCGGGTGGGTTTCCGGGGGTGTCCAGAGCGGCCCGAGTGGCCGCCAGGGAGCCGAGCTGTGGCCCGAGCGCCAGGAGGGTCGCCATGAAGCAGGAGATGAAAAAGCACACAGACACAATGAATCGTCGCTCCCCAGGAAAATATAGGGAAAATGTTGGAAGTGGGGGGGAAGACGAAAAAACCCAGAATATATATATATATATATATATATATATATATAAGAAAATAGGGGGAATCTGGTGATTTGTGTTTCTTTATTTGTGTGTCCCAGTTCCCCTCCAATCAAGCACACCCAGATGTCCGACGATCTGTTTTTTTTTTTTTTTCCATCCGGGGCGTTTCTTTTAGACTTCGGCCTCTGGGGCACGCTGTCGGGCCCCAGGACCCTCGAGCACTGACATCTCGGGCGAGACACTCGCCGCGGGGAAGGGGGCCCGGACCCCCAGGGCCGCGGACAGAGGTAAAACGACGCGAAGATCGGGACAAAATCGGATCGGGATACCTCGAAATCTCTGAGAACCGGCGGGTTTGGAGGATGTATTGGGCGCCGCGGCCGCTCCAGAGCGTTCCGGAAAGCTCTGAGAGCGCTCCGGAACGCTCTGGAGCGATTTATCCCGATCCTAGCTCTGTTTTAAGAGGCAAAATCGCATGGCCGGACGTTTGGGCCTGCGTGCAGCATCCGCTCGCCGAGCGTTTGGCCCACTGGGTCGCATCCAGAGGCCCGCAGTGCAAAAAACGCTCGCACCGACGACTCGCGAGAAGTGCTCGTGGAGACACCGCGCGCGTCCCCTCCCCTCGTTCCCTGGCCTTCCGCCCTCCGGAGGGGTGAGGGAGAGGGCTTGGGTGGGGGGCAGGGCCCACGCAAACCGTTCGCGTCTTGAACTCAACGCACTTCGAGTCTTCCCGAGGCGTTTAACCCCATGGGCTCCGTCAAGGACCGGCTCGCACTGGGCATCATAGAGTGGGCCGAGAAGCATGGCCAGCTCAAGCCGGGCCAGACCGTGGTGGAGGCCAGCAGCGGCAACACGGGCATCGGTCTGGCGATGGTTTGCGCTGCCAAAGGCTACCCGTTCGTCTGCACCATGTCCGAGGCTTTCTCCGTGGAGAGGCGAAAGCTGATGCGATTCCTGGGTGCCAAGGTTTCCGGAGACGGGTCAACTCCATCCTGGGTGCAGCAGCGTCTTGCAGTGGCACCGCCCAGGAAGAGAGGCGGCTGCTTCTGGTGACAGGAGGCCACCCTTTGAACAGGTGCCCCTCAGATGCCTCTTGACCAGGGCTTCACCGAGGACTGCCCACGATTCTCTTGAGCGCCACAGCTCCCCAGATCTCCAAAGACCCAGCCAGTGCATCAGCATGAAGATGTGGCATACACCCAAAGTGGCACCTCAAGGAGTGCGTGCTGCACCCATTCCGTGATCAGTTTTGAAATTGCAGTAGGGGGTGGCAGTTCCCAGCCCCCCTTTGGGAAAACGACCCCAAGCCTCCTCCGTGGGGGTGTTCTCGGGGGCTTCCTGGCTGGGCCCTCCCAGACCTCCCCCCCTCAGGGAGGTTGGGGGTCAGGGTGATATTCCCGATGCAAAGCAAAACCGTCAGCGAGGTTTTTGGGAGAGCTAGGGGGTTCTCCCTCCCGGACCCATTCAAAAACTTTCCTCAGGGCCTCAGGGGGGGTTTGGGGGGTCAGAGAAGTTTTGCCTTTCCGGACCCTTCCGTAAAACATCTCAAGTTTTTATTGCTGGGGTGGGTGGGAGGTGTTTCCCTCCAGCACCCTTCAAACATTAGCCTACCTTCCCCCCTGAGTTTTTTTGGGAGTTCGAGAGGTTTTCCCTTGCGGACCTTTTGAACACCAATCTCAAGAGGGTTTGCGGGGGATTAGGGGTGTCGTCCTGCCCAGACCCCCCCAAATTCTCATTCAGCAGGGTTTTTGTTTTGGGTTTTCCCCACCTAGCCCCCCACAAGCTTTCCCTTCAGGCGATTTTTTTGGGTGTGGGGGGGTCCCCCAGAGCCTTCCGCCCCCCCCGCTCATGCTCTTTTTTGGCAGGTTTGGGTGGTGGTTCCAAAACCCGTTCTCAGGTTCCTTTCTGGGGATCAGGGGTTTTCCCCACCGCCGCCCCCCCCAATGACAAACCCTCAGGGTGGTTTTCAGGGGGTTACGGGGTTTGTCTCCCCCCAGACTCTCGAAAACGTGTCTCAGGACGGTTTTTGGGGGACCCCCCGGACTTCCCCCCAGACCCACTCTCAGGAAATGTTTGGGAGTTCAGGGGAGTTCTGAAATTCCGGACCCCCTTCAAAACTGTCCTCCCTCAGGGAGGTTCTTTTTTGTTGGCGGAAAACCTTTCCTCAGGGAGGTGTGCAGGGGGACAGGGTTAAGTCGGGCCTGTCCCTCTACAGGAGGTAAAAAAATGCGGAAAAATAGCCAGGGGACAATTTTTTGGCTACTTTTGAGCATTTTGGAGTTTTTGTGGGGTATGTTTTATTTTTCGTCCCAAGCCCCATGTAGGAGGACAGGTCCGACGTAAGGACAGGGGGCCTCCCCCCCGGAGCACCCCAAAAACCACCTTCAGGAGGGCCTTCTTGGCGAGTGGATGCGGTCTCCCCTCCCGGAACAAAACCCCACTCAGGGTTTCTTGCTGGAGTCTGGCCTCCCAGATGGGGTCGGAGTAGATGGGGTCGGAGGATTGGCGCCGCATCGCCGATGCATCGTCGATGCGGCTCGATGTGGAGCCCGATTTCCCCAACGCCGATGTCGGCGTGAAGGAGGGAGGAGGGAGGAGGGAGGAGGGCGGAGGGAGGAGGGAGGCGGGAGGCGGGAGGCGGGAGGAGGACGAGGAGGAGGAGGAGGAGGAGGAGGAGGAGGAGGAGGAGGAGGAGGAGGAGGAGGAGGAGGAGGAGGAGGAGAGGGAGGATGATGATGATGAGGAGGAGGACGAGGAGGAGGAGGAGGAGGAGGAGGAATAATTACAATAATAACATTTATATGTTATATAGTGCTAAGACTAACGATACGAATACTAGTAACACGAACAATGAGATAAGCCGACGACTACTATTAAGAAGACGAATTACATCATTATTCTAACACACCGTAATCATATCACGACTAATAATAAGAAGACGAAGAGGACGAACCAGACAACGACTAAACACACGAATGCGAATGACAATAATAATAAGAGTGATATTACGAATGGGACTGTTACTAAGAACAGTAACAATATTATTACGGAGACTAAGAATAACAGTAATACTGCTACTCATAATGCTAATAACAAGAAGACGCACATTACGAATGAGCATAATGATAATCCGACTAATTCGAAGACTACTCATAATACGAATAGCAATAAGACGACACATACCAATAGTAATAATACTAATCAGAAGAGGAAGAGGAGGAGGCGGAGGAGGAGGAGGTTGAGGAGGAGGAGGAGGAGGAGGAGGAAGAGGAGGAGGAAGAGGAGGAGGGAGGAGGGAGGGAGGGAGGGGAGGGAGGGAGGAGGAGGAGGGAGGAGGGAGGAGGGCCCAGGCCCAGCTCGGGAGGCCTCAGCCGGAGGGCTCTCTGGCCGTCCCGCGGCCCTCCTCTCCGCCTCCTCCTCCTCCCCTCCTCCTCCTCCTCCTCCTCCGCCTCCTCCTCCCGCTCCGCCTCTCTCCTCGCCCGCGCTCGTCCGCCGGCTGCGCCCCTGCGCTTCCGGCTTCGCAGCAGAGGGCGTCCCGCCGTCTGCTTGGCCGCCCGGTTGGACCCAAGAACCAATCCTCCTCCCTCCTCTCTTTTCCTCCTCCTCCTACTTCCTCGGCCTCCTCCTCCTCCTCCTCCTCCCTCCTCCTCCTCTCCTATTCCTTCTCCTCCCCCTCCTCCCTCTCTCCCCTCCTCCTCCTCCTCCCTCCTCCTCCTCCCTCCTCCTACTTCCTCTTCCTCCTCCTCCTCCTTCTCCTCCTCCTCCTCCTACTTCCTCTTCCTCCTCATCCTCCTCCTGCTCCTCCTCCTCTTCTTGATCCACTTCGCCAGCGCAGCGTTGCACCCTCCATTTCGCGTTGCTGCTTGAGACTGTGTTCCTGCCCACGCGCCGGACGGCGCACAGCCAAGACGCTGAAATACGGAACAGTTTGGGTTCGGCAGGGACTCGATGTTCCTGAGGTTCCTCCAGTGCTGTTCCTCTTGCCCTCCTGGGGCACGGAGGCGCTTACAGGGCCAAGAAGGGGCTTCGCTCCTTATTTGGCGTTCCTTCTTGCAGCGGCCCGACCTGTATGGCTCGTGAGCGAGCGAGCGTGACCTGCAGGGGCAACGCCAGGGGGGAGAGAGGCTCCGGGGGCCCGGTCGCCCATTTCATCCGTCGCCGACTGGGAGCCCGATAGCCCACCCCTCCCAGGAGCGGGCGGCTTCGCCATCGAGAGCCCTCCGCCGATCTGTCGGTCACGTATCGCCGGTTCCGGGTCGATGTGCCCCCCTTCGTTCCCCTGGCATCGCTCGGACGTGTGCATGTTTTCTCGGCGAGAACCATTGAGGACCATCCTGGACCATCGAGCAAAAAAAACACGCACGAGACCGAAACATGCACGGGACATGGGCGTCCGAGCGATGGCGAGTTCCCCTTCAGTCAGAGGACCTAGGCGCGTGCTCTGCTTGGCTTCTGGCCTCCAGGTCGTCCTCACGAACCCGGCGCACAAGGGCAGCGGCATGTACATCGCGGCCAGGGCGCTGGCGGAGAAGAACGGCTGGTTCCTGGCCCGCCAGTTCGAGAACGAGGCCAACGCCTGGGTGCACTCGCAGACGACGGGGCCCGAGATCCTGGAGGCCATGGGGGGCACGCCGCTCGACTACTTCTTCTGCTCCTACGGCACGGGCGGCACGCTGAGCGGGGTGGCCCGGGTCCTGCGGGCCCGCTCGCCGAGCACCCGGATCTGCGTGTGCGAGCCGGACTGCACGCCCCTGCTGCTGAGCGGCAGCAGGACGGAGTACAACGAGGACGTCTGGCCGACCAGGGGCCTGGGGGGACAGCGCAGGGGGAGGCTACGGGCTGGAGCCGGCCGGGGGGCCGATGTGGCCCGGCATTCCGCGAGGACAGAAGAACCCCCAACCCTAATAGCACGACGGAGACGTATCAGCTCCCCTGCGGTCCCCGTCTTTGCAGCAGGGATCGTCCCATCTGGGCGGTTTGGTTCGACACACCTGCAGAAAAAAAAAACCCCTGTCCCTAATGTCTTTCGCCCTCCAATCTTAGGTCCCCTCCCAAAGGGTTCGGGGTCCTTTTATAATTGTGGAAGTCGATTAATGGAGAGGAAGCATGCTGCCGAATAGTTTCCAGATGTCTGACATATGTTTCAAACATGTTTTAAACATGGTAACACATGTTTGAAACATGTTTAGAACATGTTTAACATAATTAAGCACTTCTTTGATTCACTGATAGGATTGTTAGAGTGTCCGTTGTCATGGCGCCCACAATGTTATTGGTGATCGAGCGTCGGTTCTGGCCAGCAGAAGGGGGGGGAAAGGGGGGCCCCTCGACGCCACGGCGGGACGTGGCTCGAACAAGCGTCGGCCTCGACCCTCGGATGGGTCCAGGCACCGATCTGAGCGGGTTCGCCTTAGCCTCAAGTCGGGCACGTCAAACTCCAGGAGGAAAGTTCATCTACAGGAGGAAAGTGCAAGAATAGTGAAACAAATAGTCTGGTGACGATGTTTCGTACTCTTTTGAATGCACCTGCAATTTCTTGGCGATTTTTACCTCTCCCTCCGGAATCCGCCTATACAGTCGGGGCCTTGAAGAAGGAACGCTTTTCGTTGGGGAGGGGCTCCGTGTTCCTTAAGTGTTTCGCAGCTTGCCTTGGATTTTCTTAGGTTTTCGATACGAAATCGAAGTTCAATTTATGGAAAATGGGGGCCTCGTTCCTTATTTAGGGTTCCTTAGGTCAACGCCTCGACTGTGTAGGAGGACATGCCCGACCTAACCTTTTAGTACCCCCCCTCTCGTGACCGATTTTATCGCAGGGCCCGTCCAGCGCAGACGCCCAGAGCCGCTTCTAACTGTCCAAGTTTCGGGGCCAGCACGTGTGCTTGGCATCGCTCGGACGTGTGCATTTTTCCCTCGGCGAGGACCATCGAGGAGCATCCTTGATCCCTTGGCGAACAAAAACACGCACGAAACCGAAAAAAGCACAGGAAATGGACGTCCGAGCGATGGCCAGCACGTGTGCCACAGAGCAGGGGGGCGGCGGCAGCTCATTTCTTGCACGGGGAGGGCGTTCGTAAAGGAAAGTGCCCAGGAGGCTTCCACCCTGGAGGACTCCTTAACTCCAGATTTCGCAATAAAAGGGAGGGGGTCTGGAGGAGGAGGAGGAGGAGGAGGAGGAGGAGGAGGAGCGAGGAGCGAGGAGGAGGAGGAGGAGGAGGAGGAGGAGGAGGAGGCCAAGGTACCCAAGGTACCCACGGCAGGGCCGTTCTTTCACTGTTTGCGAAGAAAATTGTCCCTTGAAAATGGGATTTCGTAATAAAAGGGAGGGGGAGGGGGTCTGGACCCTCCAAGACAAGCCATTTCCGACCTCCCCCGTGGGAGAACCCTCCCAAACATCGTCCCCAGACCCCCCAGGCCCTCCAAGATGGCCTGGAAGAGGCCCCCCCCGAAATGAGACCCCCCTCCCTTTCTTACGAAATCTGGAGTACCCAAGGAGGGCGGCGGTGATGTCCGTGGCCACTCCACGAATGGGAGCTCCGCTGGCTTCCAGGCCCTGGATCCCTTATAGCCAACGGTTTCTTATCCGACGCCCTCACCGCACCTCCCTGTCGCGCTGCTTCGCCCTCGGGCTTCCGGTCGGCCAGACGGAGGACGGGTCGTTCAAGCACCCCCACGCCTCGTGGCGGCCGCACCTGCTGCAGGGCTGGGCGCCGGACTTCATCCCGAAGCTCGTGGCGGACGCCGTCGACGCGAAGTACGTGGACGAGCTCTGCCACGTGGCGGGCAGCGCGGCGATGCAGACGTCGCGGGAGCTGGCGCAGAAGGAGGGCAGACGATGCTGAAGATGTTGATGATGATGATGATGATGATGATGATGATGATGATGATGATGATGATGATGTTGATGATGCTGATGAGGATGATGATGATGATGATGATGATGATGATGATGATGATGATGATGATGAAATGATGATGATGATGGTGATGATGATGATGATGATGATGACGTGGATGATGCTGCTGCTGATTCTGCTGCCGGTGATGACGATACCGATGACGATGATGACGACGACGACGACGACCTGAAATACGCCGACGACGCCGATGGAGACGACGGAGACGACGGAGACGACAACGATGACGGCGACGACGACGATGACGATGATGACGACGACGATGATGGTGATGATGACGAGGACGATATTGATGATGATGCTGATGATGATGCAGATGATGCTGATCATGACGATGGCAATGATGATTGTAATGATGATGCTGATCATAGTGCTGACGCTGCTGAGGATTACGTCGATGATGGCGCTGATCATGATGCTGATGCTGATGATGATGATGTTGATGATGATGATGATGCCGATGCCGATGACGATGCTGATGGCGATGATGATGGCGATCATGATGGCGATACTGATGTTGATGATGATGTTGATGATGACGATGATGAGATTGATGATGATGATGATGATGATGAGGATGATGATGATGATGATGATGACGATGATGGCGATGGGGACGATGATGATGATGATGATGATGATGATGATGATGACGACGACGATGATGATGATGATGATGATGATGATGATGATGATGATGATGATGATGATGGGAAGGAGGAGGAGGAGGAGGATAAGTAGGACGATGATGATGCTGATGATTCTGATGATGATCATGCTGACAACGAGGATGATGATGAGGAAGCTGGTTCTGACTATGATTAGGGTGACAATGAGGACGACGACGACTAGGATTATGATTGTGTTAGTGATGATGGTGATGCTGATGATGGTAATGATGATGAGCATGATCATGAGGTTGTTGCCGCTGTTGTTTTTGTTGCGGTCGTTGTTGTTGATGTTGGTGGAGCTTCGTGATAGTCATGGTTGATCTCCCCACTGGTGCACATTCTGTTTATCAATCAAAATGCTCCCCCAGGGGCTCGCATTCTTGTTTTCATCAGGCGAAGACTTCCTGCTTGAATTGTGTTGTTGGCCCCTGGGCTACAACGACAATGGCTCCCGCCTGATACTTCCTCACAATGTATTCCAAAGTCGAGCCCTCGCGCGGGACTTCCTCACAATGTATGCAGGAAAATTACTTTCGCGTGGGACTTCCTCACACTTTATTCAGACGCCGCTCCCTTGACACTCAGCAATCACGCACTCGCTTTAGCCTTCCTCACGGTTTCTTTGGGTATCGCGCCTTCGCTTGAGATTTCCTAGAGATTCATGCAGGACGCACGCTTCTGCAACCCGCCTTCTCGACTTGGCCGCCTGGGCCCACCTTCCCGACCCGGCCGCTAGGGTCTGCCCACCCGATCAGCCCGTTTGGTTCTGCCACGTGTCTTCTACTCCTAGCCCCCCTCCTGCTAATCTCTCTCTTGTTCCGTCCTTCCCCCTCCTCCATCCATCCGTCCTCTCTTCCCTTTTCTTTTGGGCTGCACTCAATGCACGTGGCAGGCAAGGAAGATACACCCCCAAGGGGGCACGATCGAATACGAAGAAGGCAGGCCCCGAGGGTTTGGGATATACGTGACGGATGGCCCACGAGCAGATAGGAGCGAACATACTTAAACATATTGATGTTGTTGCTGATGTTGTTGTTGTCGTTGTTGCTGATGAGCTCTCATGTCTGAAGAATAATTATTGTTGATCCCCCTCCCGTAACCTTTGTATTTGTCTTATTGAAGTGCCCCTCCTGTGGCTCACGCCCTTACTTGTCAGGGAAAGTCTTGAGCCTCAAACTGGTCGGCGAGCCCCCGAGTTCCAACAACAAAAACGGCTCCCGCTTTACTTCCTCACACTTTATTGCCAAATCTCGCTCTCTCGCGGGACTTCCTCGCAAGGTATGCAACAATCGCGTCTCGCGTGGGATTTCCGAACAATTTACTCAGACGCCGCGTCCGCGACAGTCAGGACTCACACTGTCGCTGTGGATTTCCTTACGGTTTATTTGGGAATCGCAATTTCGCTCGAGACTTCCTCGTGATTCATGCAGGACGCACGCTTCAGCAACCCGCCTGCTCGACCTGGCCGCCTGGGCCCGCTTCCCGACCCGCCTGTCGGGGTCTACCCACCCGATCAGCCAGTGTGGTTCTGCCACGTGTTTTCTGCTCCCAGCCCCTCTCCTGCTAATTTCTCTCGTGTTCCATCCCCCTCCCTCTCCCTTGTTCTTCCTTCCATCCGTCTTCTATTCCCCTGCCTTAGGGGCTCCACGAAATACACGTTGCAGCAAGAAAGATATACTCCCAAGGGGGCACGAATAACGACGAAGAGGGCGGGTCTCGATGGTTTGGGATATACGTGCTGAGTGGCCCGCGAGCAGATAAGAGCGAACAATATTAACATCCGTGCTGTTGTTATTGCTGTTGCTGTTGTTGTTGCTGTTGCCGCTGTTGATGCTTTTGTTGTTGATCCCCCCCCCACCGGTGATTCGCATCCTGTTTTTCTCATGGATAGTCTTCGTGCTCAAGCTACGATGTTGGGCCCCGAACGGGCCCCAAACTACAACAACAACGGCTTCTGCCTCATATCTCTTCACACTTTCTCCCGAAGTCGCGCCCTCGCGCGGGACTTCCTCACCAACTATGCAGGAACACCGCTCTCGCGTGGGACTTCTTTGCAAGTTGTTCAGACGCCGCGCCCTTGAAACTCAGGAATCACGCTCTGGCTTTGGCCTTGGGAGTCGCGCTATCGCTTTAGATTTCCTTGCGATCCATGCAAGACCCACGCTTCAGCAACCCGCCTTCTCGACCTGGCCGCCTGGGCCCGCCTTCCCGACCCGGCCGCTAAGGGTTCGCCCGCCCGATCAGCCAGTGTGGGTCTGCCACGTGTCTTCTGCTCCTAGCCCCCCTCCTGCTAATCTCTCTCTCTTGTTCCGTCCTTCCCCCTCCTCCATCCATCCGTCCTCTCTTCTCCTTTCTTTTGGGCTGCACTCAATGCACGTGGCAGGCAAGGAAGATACACCCCCAAGGGGGTACGATCGAATACGAAGAGGGCAGGCCCCGAGGGTTTGGGATATACGTGTTGGATATCCCGCGAGCAGATAGGAGCGACCAGTCTTAGACGAATGATGTTGTTGATGTTGTTGTTGTTGTTGATGTTGCTGTGGCTGTTGTTGCTGTTGCTATTGTTGTTGTTGCGGTTGATGTTGTTGTGGTTGTTGCTGTTGTGGTTGTCGGTGTTGCTGCTCCTGTTGGTGCTGTAGTAGTATTAGTAATTGATAGTGGTGATGATGCTGCTGATGATGATGATGATGCTGCCGCTCATGATGATGATGCTGATGATGAGGGAGAGGCTACTGACGATGATGGTGGTGTCGGTGATGATAATAATGAGGATGGTGATGAGGACCATGATGGTGATGCTGATGTTGATGATGCTGATGATGATGATGATGATGATGATGATGATGGTGGTGATGATGATGATGCTGCTGATGATGATAATGATGATGATGATGAGGATGATGATGATGATGCTGATGCAGATGCAGATGATGGATGCTGCTGATTCTGATGATGATGCTTATGATGCTGCTGCTGCTGATGATTATGATCATGATCTGGTGCAGAAGGAGGGCATCTTTACGGGCACCAGCGGGGGTGGCGTGCTCTCTGCCGCCCTGAGCTTCGCGGCGAGCAAGGCCCCCAGGGGCTCGAACATTCTCGTGCTGCTGCCGGACACCGGGGAGCGCTACATGAGCACCCCCCTCTTCGCCGACATCGGGGCCGACATGACCGCGGAGGAGAAGGATCGGGGTCAGAGGAGGAAAAGGTACCCATACCTGTACCCTCCCCCCGTCTTCCCCCTTTTTGGGCCTCCTCGGAGCCCTCGTCGCCACCGCTGGATTCGCCTCGAAACTCTGGTTAGAACGCACACAGGAAGGGGTCCGGAGAGTAGCGGTATCGGTGCATTTTGGTCTCCACACGGGGGGCGCGTAATGGGGAGGCGATGAAAATGGGGGGGGCACAGAGGGCTGCCGAAAAAGGGCCTTGTAGGGCCCCTGGAGGAGCCCTTTCGGGTCCAGGAAGGGCCTTTGGGGCCCGAAACGGGCACCCTGCAGGCTTCCCCCCCTCGTTTGATCGCCTCACAAGCTGTTCGCGCCCAAGAGGAGATAGCGTCGCTCATCGGGAGCACCGAGCCTCCACCGATACAGCTCCCGGACGCCACAGAAAGCGAGATTCAGTTCCTGGAGACCACCAACAGAGAGAACAAGGTCGTGATCTGGAGCATGGAGTACTGCGAGTTCTGCTGGACCATCTTCAGTTTTTTCGACGCCATCAAGGTGCCCTACAAGAGAGTTGATTGGGACTCGTTCGAGTTTGCAGAGAACGATCGGGGAAACAAGATCCGGTCAGCACTCCAGAAAAAGACAGACTGCAAGACCTACCCGCAGTGTTTCATCGATGGCACATTCTTCGGAGGGGCTGCAGATGCTTGTATTAAGTGGAAGAAGGGCGAGCTCCAGCCCTTGCTGGAGAAGGCTGGCGTGAAAGTGGACAACTTCGGGGGTTATAGCGGGGACCCATTCGAATTCCTGCCGAAGTGGATGTCACAGAACCCGCTGCGTGACAAGTGAAGTAGGCGATCGCGGATGCTGGCGGTCACCACTCACCTCATGTCATCCTTCTCCGGGTAATTGGAGCAATGTGGATTACATGGGACGTGATCGCCTGGCATTTTTTGTTTTTGTTGCTTGTTTCTGTGGTTTCAGATAGTTTCCCTACGCAGCACATGTTGTACGGGTTCTGGACCAGATGAATTGGTCGCCCGAGAGGTGTCTGGAGCAGCCAATGGTAGCTCTAATGAGGCAGCGAGCGATTTGGTTGCACGCGGGATTTCTGCCGCAAACTGTTACGTAACCTATGGCAGGCCTATTGGGTGTACCGAGTGTCGAAACTAAGGATGTGGTGGCCCGCGGGGGTGTCTGGCGCAACCTGTGCCGTAAACTATGGCATGCCCGTCTGGGCATCGGGCTTGGTTCCCCGCGGGGGTGTGCGGCGAAAGTTGTGGCACATCCCATGGCATACTCACTGGGTACGGTAGATTCGTGTCGTGTCGACCGGCGGCGGCCCCGCGCCGGCGTTCAACGTTGAACGCCGCCGGCGACCCAGAACCAGTCGATGTTGAACGATCTGACGTTTCGGAGTCGGCCGATCGTTCAATGTGGAACGATCCCCGTGGTGTCAGAAACCAACGCCGAAATCGGCGCGACACGAGCCTGCCGTACTCCGAATGAGGAGACTGACGATTTGGTTGCCTGCGAGGTGTCCGGCGCAACCTCTGGCGCAAATTATTGCGCAACCTACAGCGTACCCATTGGATGCAATGGACGAGTTGGTTGCCTGCGGGACGCCTGGTGCAATCTTTGGCCGAACCATTGGTAGAACCACTGGGTGCCTCGAATGTTGAAGTTAAAGATGTTGTTCCCCGCGGGGTGCCTGGCCCGACTTCTTGTGCGACCCGTAGCAGACTCACAGACTCACTGGGTACATTGACAAAAGAAACTGACGATTTGGTTGTCCGCGGGATGTTGGGCGACACCTACGGCGCAATCCATGGCAGTAGATCAGCTGAGTACACCAGTTACGGACTCGGACGATTTGGTTGCTCGTCGAGAGTGGCGCAACATCATCATATGGCACAGCCTGTGAGGAAACTGAGTGAGGAAACTGGCGATGTGGCTGCCCGCGGGGCGTCTGATGCAACCGATGGTGCAACTCACTGCGCAACCTATGACATTCCTACTAAGACTTCGTACGAGTTGGTTGCCCGCGAGGTGTCTGGCGCAACCTGTGGCCGAGCCATTGGCAGACCCACTGGGTACAAGTTGGTTGCCCGTGGGGTGTCTGGCACAACCCATGGCGCACCGTATGCGGCAACCTATGGCAGACCCGTTGCCGCAGCGGATGATCTGGTTGTCCGCGGGGCATTCCGGCGCAACCTACGGCGCGACGTCTGTCGGGCCCACGGGGTACACCTAACACGGGAGCTGACCATTTTGCTTGCTCGCGGGATGTCTGGCGCAACCCACGGTGCAGCAGACGCGCTGGATACACCGAGCATGGGGACGGACAATTTTGCTGCCTCCGGGGGGTGCCTGGCCCAACCCACGTCGTGACAAGGTTACCCGCGGGATGTCTGGCACAACCTACAGTCAGCCCGAATAGTAAGAATGAGCAACCTTCGTAAGGGTACCAGTGCATCCTTGCCCCTTTGGCCCAACGGCCAACCTTCGTAAGAGTACCAGTGTACCAGTGCAACCTTCGTAAGAGTACCAGTGCATCCTTAGCGACTTTCGCTTGCCAACCTCGCTCGAAAAGCGTCAGCATGGGCCTCCAATGCCCTTGCATCCTTGGTTGCTGACTGTACGGCGCAACCAACGTCAGTACACCAACTGGGTACACCGAAGATGGGAACGTACGATTCGGTCGCCCGCGGGGTATCTCGCGCAACCAATGGCGCAACTTATTGTACATCCAAGCACAGGGTGTCTGGCGCAACCTATGCTGGCCCCCTGGGTACACCGAATACGGCAATCGACGATCTGGTCGCCCGCGGTGTGTCTTTAGCGCATCTTTTGGCGCAGTCCATGGTTCACTCTGCCGACGCCAGACGATCGGATTGAGTGCGGGGGGTCTGGCGAAACCAGTCCGCAACTTATGGGGCATCCTTTAGGCATCGCACGATTGGGTTGCCCGCGAGGTGTCTGGCGCAACCTTTGGCGGCACATTTGGCGCACCCGCTGGGACATCGGAAGATTTGATCCCCCGCGAGGCGTCTGGCATATCCCAATGCGCAATTTATAGTCAGCCTATTGGGAACTTGCTGGGGCATGGCATGGCTTGGTTGCCCGCGGGGTGACTGGCGCAACCTATGGCGCAACTGACAGCAAATCTATAATCTATGGCGCACCCATTGGGGAATGGGACCGTTGTGTGTTCCCGCGGAGTGTCTGGCGCACCCTATGGCGCAATCTTTGGCTCATCCACCAGATCAGAATGTCCTGGGCGACCTTCTTCGCAACTTCTGGCGCAGCGTAAAGCGAACCCGTTTAGGCATCGTACGATTAGGTTGGCCACAAGGATTTGCTTCAATTTATCGCGCCAGCCATGGTACTCACACGAAGGCATCGGATGATTTGGCTACCCGATAGTGCAGCCTAGGATGCACCCACTGGGGCATCGGACTTCTTTTCTGCCCGCGGGCTTTTTTCGCAACCGATCGTGCAACCTATCGCGAAAGCTGTTTAGGGTCTCGTGGAGAGGGGTGTTTACAATTCGTAGTAAGTCTTGAGCAGCGCTCCATCAACCTATAGACGCGCGGTGCCGACGCCACCTGATCTGTTGAGCCACGTCACATAATGTATCCTTGTAATCCGTACAGTCAACGTGCGTGTCAGGAAGCTGCAGTGAACGACGGTTATCCGATCGCAGAATGTTTCTCGTGACATTTGATTTACATTATCGCCTTCTGTATCGTCCCTGCTTCTTTGTCCGAGCTCACAGTAGTTTTGTTGAAGCACGTGGTGGCCCGTTCTTGCCTGTTCCTTGGCAGTTGGTTTTCTCCAGTGCGCTTATGTGGTCTGATCCTCACGCAATCATATTTCGAAGGGGTGCCAACTTGGTTCTGGACGACTTCAAACCAGCATCGACTCAGAGGAAAAAAGTGCCAGGTCATGTTAAGGCTATCCACTTCCTGTGCTCACATCGCGTCCTGCCAATTGGTGCACAAACTTGCAAGACGAGTATACTTAGTCAGAGCGTGAGGAGGGCGGCCAGCCTCGAACATCCACCATCCACAACGAGGGTGACCCGACGGATGACATCTGCAGTCTGTGAAGCTACGCTCGTCTGACACTACTGTGAAGGCCGTACGGCCTGTGCCACCGACCCCGAAGGCGGGACCTCTCTGGGGACCTCCGCCGGCGCCCCCCCCCCCCCCCGGACCTGGCGGGACCCTTGAAGGGGCGGTATTCTGAGCCGGGACCACCTTCCCCCTCCATCGGATGGCATCAACTATACACCAACACCGATCCTGGCCCAGGATCACCCTGGGCCCAGGATCGGTGTATATGCCTTCTTGCGCAAGGCAGGAGGGCGTATACACCGATCCTGGGCCCAGGGTTATCCTGGCCAGGATCGGTGTTGGTGTATAGTTGGTGCCTTCCTACTCCACATGCCATGCGGGAACTCCCCCGGGATTTCCCCCGCCAGGAACCCTCTTCTACAGGCGGGGGGGGCCTCTCCTGTCCTCCTTGTGGGGGGACAGAGGAGGGGAGCTTGGCATCGCTCGGACGTGTGCACTTTTCCTTCGGCGAGGGCCATCGAGGAGCATCCTCGATCACTTGGCGAGAAAACGCGCACGAAACCGAGAAAAAACACAGGAAATGGAGGTCCGAGCGATGGCCAGGGAGGGGGGGCCGCCAGGCCCCGGGGGCCCTGGGGAGAGGGGGGGGGAGAGCGGTAATCTAACCCGGGACCGCCCCCCCGGACCTCCATATTGTCGCGAGACCAACCTGTACCGTTGTCGCACCCAAACGAATCAGGGTACAGACTCTGTTTTATGCCTGGTTTTGCCCGCCAGTTTTCAGCATCGATGTTTCGGTCTCCTCATCTTTTCTGATCTTACCGTATGTACAGGCTCTGTATCCGCGACAGATGTAACAGTATCGCCCCCACAAGCTTACTTGCGCTATCAGCGAACATCGGCCTTGGTTTGGAACGTCATCATTCTATATTTCGAGAAGTTGGTCGAGGGTGTACTTGCTATCCGCTCGTGGTTGCTGATGGTCGGAACAGGTTTGCAGGCAACACCTTGTCATTCACGGTAGTTAGAACGAACCACCCATAAAATGGGCTCATAACTGCTATGATGTTTGATCTACCCATATCATTGTGAAACAACACAAGCCCTTACACACCTTAGGCTGATCGATTATCGACGGCAAACGCTCACCTGGATGCCTGGTAGGAATATTTTATCGTTTGCGTACACTTGAACATTCATCAATTTCGCTTTACACTTTCGCGCTCACCCTTCACTTCTCGAACGCCACTCTTGCATGCAGTAATTGGCGTCGCGCCGACCAGTGAGCCTCCAGCTGGAATCCCGCTTCTGCTATTTAGGGCCACAGCGGCGGCGCGAGGCTGAGAGGGTGTCGAACGAGATGCTGCAGTTTTGCCGTGCTCCGTCGGCATCTTCGACTGCGGTGTTCTTGGAGGACGCTGCTTTGCTGTCGTCGCTACAAGATCCCTCATTCTCATCCTGCCGTCGTCGTCGCCGCTGCGACCGTCTTCTGTGCGTCCACCTCCTAATATTAAGTTGGGCCTGTCTCTCTACGGGGGGAATATTCACACATACTCTACAACATAGTCTGGGGACTAGTTTCCAGTATGTCTGGACATGTTTGGAGCCTCTTTGGGGTATTTTTGCTTTTTCGTCCAAAATCGGCCTGCAGGGGGACAGGCCCGATTTAACCCTAATGCACGCCTCCAGCAGGGCCGCCCGCAGCTCGGAACTGCGATGCAACATGGCATACCGTCGGGGCCCCGAAGAAGGAACCCTGTTGGTTGGGAAGGGGCTCGGTGTTCCTTAATTGTTCCACACCTTGCCCAAGGTTTTCCTTACGCTTTCGATGGGAAGTCAAAGGTTAACGTATGAAGAAAGGGGCCTCGTTCCTTATTTCGGGTTCCTTAGGTCAACGCCTCGACTGTATGTCCTGCGGTGGTGGACGCCGAACAGGAAGATGCCAGAGCCAGCGATCTCTGCCTCTCGACTTCGACGTCTGGCTCTGTTCCTTGGCATCGCTCGGACGTGTGCATTTTTCCTTCGGCGAGGACCATCGAGGAGCATCCTTGATCATTTCGCGAAAAAGCCACGCGCGAAACCGAAAAATACACAGGAACTGGACGTCCGAGCGATGGCCAGATTCATCTTCGAACCAGCACGGCGCTCCATCTTTGGACGCCGCCCACTCGGAGCACCGTGGCCGCACGGAGATGCCTATCGGAAGCCGGAGGGAATGGATGCGGCGATGGAGCGGGAGGGCGATGCGGACGCTGCTGTTGATGCCGATGTTGATGTGGATGGTGGTCTTGTGGTTGCTGCTGCTGCTGCTGTCGTTGTGGCTAGTGTTGTTATTGTTGATGATGATGCTGTTGATGATGCTGATGATGCTGCTGCTGATGATGATGATGATGATGCTGATGGTTATGATAAGGATGCTGCTGCTGATGATAATGACGATAAGGATGACGAGCAGGAGGAGTAGGAGAAGGAGGATGCGGAGGAGGAGGAGGAAGAGGAAGAGGAGGAGGAGTGCGGACGGACGTGGGACGAGGGACGGGGGCGGGAAATAGGAGTCGGCGGAGGAATCAGAGGAGCACAGATAGGAGGGGGAGGCGTTAAGGAGAATGCCACTTGGGCCCGAAGGGCGCTCCGTCCCCTTTCTACTGATGCTGCTGCTCCTGCTCTTGCTCCCCCTCCCAACGCTCAGAAGAACACGGTTCTTGTCCGAAGTTAGCAGACATATGCCACACGAGAGACAGACACATCAACACGTCACACGCAACGCGTGAATGTTTGCACTCGCGATGAATCATCCGCAACGCGATCGTTGTGAATTGTGCGTCGGGGGGCACGTCTCGAACGACGGACGACAGCCAACACGGAGCATGCCACACGCTGTCCAGACAACCCGACAAGAAACAGTACATGCGCATGTACGCCTGAGGGTGCGGCAGCTGAACTTGGTGACGCTCATGGTCTCTAGATACACATGTGTGTAACCTCGGCAGGCGTGGGCAGGTGTGACCCCGCCTTCCCTGACTGAAACACATCTCTGCTTCTAAAGACTGGCATCACCTTCTCCCGGTGCGGATATCAAGGAAGCCCTCAGCTTCTGAGGGCGCATCCCTAAGACTGTCACCGCCTTGAGCTTCTCAATCTTAGGGACATGGATGGGCTCGAGGCTGCTTCTCGCAGGCGATTTTTCTGCCCCCCCCCCCCGACGTTTCGACAAAACATTAAGCCGCTCAGAACACGAGGGCCACCCTGGGATACACCCCAGGAGGCTATTCGGACGCACCCCTATCGAGGATGGACGCCCGCCCTTCGTATACCCCAGGGTCGGACCCCAAATCTCAAGTCCATTCGAACACCCCACGGAGCCTGGGATAGGGTTCGTCATATCCCCTTCGGCGGCACCTCAGCATACTAATACTATGTGTGCGTCGCCCTCCCTGGGGGCGACGCGGGGGCGGGCGGAAGCCCCATCTGTTTCCAACGCCTTCCAGCTTCAGGTTTGTGCCCACTTCTTCCGACCGGTGTCTACGCTGATCACCACCCACCAAGACACCCCAACCCAACCCGAAGCTCTCGATTTGCCTTCCATTTCCAGTGGTGGGGGGGGGGGGGCGGGGAACATCGAGAAGACACATATGGAACCCGTACCCCCCCCGACCCGAAATTCGGGTCTTCGGGCTGGGTCGGGGTGGTCTGGCGGGCAGTCAGCCGGAGCGGGGGCCGCTCTGGGCTCCGGAGGGGCCCACGTCTCGCGGGCCGTGCGCCTCGGCTCCAGGTGGGCGGGGGGGGGGGGGCCCGTGGGTGGCAGGGGCCGGCCGTGGCCCGAAGAGCAAGGGCCCCTTCGACCAGACGTAAGATCGCGGGTGGACAGACCTCCTACCCTGACACGTCGATTAGGGAAATGGCCGTTTTCGGTTCGCGAGAGGGCGTCGCGGCCGTCATTTTTGCGGGTCCAGGTCCGTCGGTTTCGGTCCCAGGTCGTTTTCGCTAGGGGGAGGTCTACGAAAGGTAGGTTTGCCCACCGCCGATAAGAGTGGCCTTTCGCAGGAGCGACCTGTGGGTGCGGGCACAGGTGGGTCCCCAGGTGGCCGGAAACGAAGCAGTAGCAGCTGGCTGCGCGCCCAGATTTGGTCCCCGCGCGGCCCCCAGGAAGCCGCGCACCAAAGGTCACTCTTGCCCAGGGTCACACTTGCGTACAGTGAGCGGCTTGAATATGGAATACTTGCTTTTCAAAAGGGGCTCGGTCGTTCCTTAGATTTTACATGCGTTATTTACAGTTCCTTATGCGTTATTTGTTATTCATCGTGGGATAGAAGAGGGGCTTCGTTCCTTCTTTATCGTTCCTTAGGTCAGGCCGATGACTGTATAGCCGGCCCCTTCGCTCCTCCGTCGGCGCGCCCTCTTCTTGATGGCACGGGGGCGGTGCGTCGGGTCGTGCCGCGGGTCTTCCTCTGCCGGCGCGCCGCTCCCAAGGGTCAAGTCGGGCCTGTCCCACTACAGGGGGAAGATTCAGAAATAGCCAAAAACTGGTCGGGGGACTACCTTCGATTCTTGTTGAGCATTTGGGGAGTATGTTTGGGGTATTTTTCATTTTTCGCTCCACATCCCTCTGTAGGGGGACAGGCCCGATTGGACCCAAGGGCCCTCGAACGGGGCAGAGGCAGTCCAGTCCGTCGTGGCTCGTGGTGCTTTCCTCCCGCTTCGGGGCCGCCGGGGGCCCTCGAGCGAGAGAGGAGCGGCACGCCTCGGGGCGTCGCGGTGGCGCTTCCGCCTGCTCTCCTTCGGCATTCGGAGCTCGGACCTCGGAGTTCGGGCGGCCTGTGTGCGGGTCGCGTGTCGCGCCCCCCCGCTCCCTCCCTC